ATATACAGCATGTCTCAGACCATGAACTTATAATATATATACCTAGAATTTGCACTGCACGCGTGCTGCTAGCATCTACTCAAATGCATGCATAGCATTACTGGCTAGTAGAAAACTGATTAATTTGCTACATTGTTAATGAATTGCGTATAGATGAAGTAGCATAATTTTCACTAGGGGCATCTTCTTGTATTTTCATAAATTCGATCTTTTTACTAACAACATTACAAAGTGCATTTGAAACTTCGGCTTCTTTATGTGGTGATTCTAATTGGTTATTCATATATATATGGGTCGCCCATGCACACAGCACAGTGAGAGAAATAAAGGGGTAGGAAAACCTATGTTGTAATTACTGTTCCATAATCTCATTATCCACTTATATGGATTTACATAAATTATTTTAAATAGTTTTCATTAATTAATAAACCGAGGTAAATGTTAGTGATTCAGGAAAAGCTTCAACATTATTTAATAATTGATGCTGAATGTGTCATCTTCTACAATGATAGTGACTTTAATTTATATAGATTGCGACATTTTAGATTGCTTACATTGCTTAGAATTACAAACGATGTAGGATATAGAATAAGGATTTGTAATTTTTTTATCAGATAAGCAACCATGTTGAAACCTTAATATCTAAATTTATAATATAATAATAATAATAATAATAATAGAGATCATCACATATTTTAAAAAGTATAAAAAAAAATTTAAATCTCGAAATCTAATATACGAGATATTTAAGATAGTAAAAAAATTACGCATTGAAGTGTGCATGCCAGATTCAAACATATCTACAGTAATTAGATGAAAATAAAAGATTAAAAATTAATTACAATTGAAGTAGAAACCCTAGACATGAGAGTAATTGAGGAATGGAGAATTTAACTCTATTTTGTGATGAATGAATAGTGGTAATGGTGGCAGCAAGAGAAACAAGTGAAGGAGACAATACATACTAAATTAGTTATGTAACAAGTGTAAACTTATTTATAACAAGTGGTGCAATGGGTGATGCTGGTTGGACTTTGGTTTGAAGTCGATCCTTGTGCAAGATCTGGTCTGGTGGGTAGAATACTACTGCCACTAACATCAAACATTAATCATTATCCTGACATCCCTACTCCTTCTTAAATTCTTGCATATCCCTAGACACCACTGATGACACCCTACAACCTCGGTCCCACGTTGTCTCTTCTCTCTCTCTCTCTCTCTCTCTCTCTCTCTCTCTCTCTCTCTCTCTCTCTCTCTCCTTCAATATCCATTCTTTCCAAAACCCTCTACAGTTTTATCTTCTCAACTATCATATTAAACTTCCCAAAAGATCGATTACTTTTTCACGCCAAAGTGGACCATTAATATATCTGCAAGAATATGTGCATGTATATAAATTTATTATTATTTACACAAATTTCTCCATTGTGGCACCTCAAAAACCTCATCTTACTCTAATACATATTCCAATTGCATTTGATTGGCCTCTAGATTATAACCACACACAGATTAAACTTTTCTTTCTTGATAATGTTCTTATGGTCATCCCAACGAAGATTGAGTAAAAGGGATTCCAAATTCTTTGATCCCTTAGCCATGGCACAACTTTTATCTGTCTGAGGTGCTTTTGGGTTTTATATATACCACACGATACTAAATGCTAATCAGGATTTTTTTTATTTTTTATTTTTTATTTTTTATTTTTTATATTGTGTGTGTGTGTGCTTTCACAACCCCTACTTTCAAACTACCATTTTACTTTTATTGACTATAAATGAAGAAACTAAAACTTTGCCGGCCTCCTCTTAGTGCTTCCAGGTGAAGCCGGATAATGAATTGGTCATAAAGAAATATAAGCCACTGGAATGGGTTATTCGGTTTATTCGATTTCTGTGATTCCACGTAATACATTTTGATGTGGGAAAAATATTAGTTTATCACCTTTTTTTTTAAAATTAAATGTATGATAAATTTTAAGATTCATTTTAATCTAAGTAATAAAAATTATTTGTGTTTTGCATTAGAATTAATTTTACTTTATATTAACTACATAATCTTATTATATTTTTTAATATATTTTATATTAATTATGTAATTCCGATATATAAATATAAGTAAATAAGATGATAAACTAGTATAATGGGTATCTCATTCGATTAAAAAGAAAACTAAATGACAAAAAATAATTAAAAAATATAAAGAATTTTAAATATTTTATTTATCAAGGATTTGAAATTTGATTAAATTCAATTTATTTTTTTTATAAAGAGACAACTTTATCAATATTAGTTATTGTGATGAAAGAAATGTTATCCTAGAAAGATAGTACTATCACAAACATTGCATTTAAGTTTTAATAATTATAGTATTGCTCGTATTTTTTATGAGATCCATTATATTATATTATCTCCATACTTACTTGCTCCAAACATTAACTACCTATTTTAGCAAAGAGTCAAACCTATCATGTTAGGATGATATCATATATAGCCATCCAACCTCACTAACACACTCATTTACCTCAAAACTTATATATTTTTTACAATATACATCCATTTTATATGTAGGGAACATATCCAAATTGCATCTAGCATTATGAACAACACTAACGTTATTTTATCACCTATTGATAATATGTTTGTCACTAATTTTCCTTTTACTGAGTCTTATTTTTATGAAGCTTCGTATTTTTTTCACCGAAAAATTACGTATTTTATGCTTAAAAAATTTCAATGACCTAAAAATATATTTTCTTAAATTAGCTAAACTAAAAAACCATATTAAATTACGTAAAGAATTGTTAAGATTTTTCTTCCACAGTTCGTATTATCTACAATACTTATATGCAAATTCACAATAGTTATAATCTCTATTTAACTTATAATGAAGAATTTTATATAATAGTGCTCTTATTCAAAAATTAAAGTTATAAAATTGATTTTAACTTTAGAAATAAGGACAACTAGAATTGAAATAACAATTAGGGTAAAAAAAATATTGATATTGAACTTTACCTTACCTTTCTTAAATATCTATCTAGTTGATCCAAGTTTCTTTCTTCTCCTATTTTGTGTTCTTCCAGAATCTCTCCAAAAAATGTCACACATTGAATATAGTTTAGAATCAAGAAAAACAAAACTTTCTGACTTTTCAGGATCTGGATGAGAAATTTTTCTGATTTTTCCATTATTTTCAAATATTTTTGTTCCTCTGATGGATTGATTACTTTCTTTTAAATCTTGGAACTTACTCCTGTAAAGAGATACAAGAGAAATTATTCTAAACTCAGATTGGATTTAAAGGAATTAATTCAATCAAGTAACTATCTAATAATTCACTTAATTTTTTCACATTTTTTAGTTTTTTTTTTCATAAAATAGTATCTGATCTCTCTATCAAATTAATTTAAAATTTAATTTAATCTTCATAAATTTCATTCTACCAAATAAAACTCGTTAGACTATATATTAATACAATGAATATTTAGAATTTTTGTGTAGGTTTATATATCATCGCTTAAGTGAAACAAATTTAACCAGTACATTACCCTCGAATTTAAAGCATAAACTATCTCACAGCTGGTCTCCAATTACTTATAAAAATGTTATTAAAATTAAATATCCTCGTGAAAAAATTTCAAACCAACAAAAACGAAGTAAATTAAACCACGGTTTACATAAGGAATAAGTAACATTGCTTGAGAAAATAAATATAATTACCACAATTAACAAAAAAAACTTTATGAAATAAATTATATAAGATTTAAATTAAAGTAAACAATTACTTAAACAAATGTGTTATTACTCTTAATTTTCTAAGATAGTTTTTAATATTTAAGTTTGTGTAACCAACTAGTCTTAATACAATTTAAGTTAAGAATGAGAAATAAATAGTCTTAATACATTTTAAGTTAAGAATGACTAGTATATATATTGTACGGATATTATTAAAACTCATTTCGATTTTTATGTAATTTTGATATTGACCAAATATGGCTGTGGGTAATCTCATTGTTCACACCCATTCTTATTTTTTAAAGCTTTTTAGGCTAAAATTATTTTCATTATTATTTTTAATATTTTATTTATTGTTTATTTTTTTATATAAAAATGAGTTATCATCAATTTTGTATAAATCTTTAGCCTTTTATTATATATTTTTTCATTTTTCTATTAACACTTCAACTAGTTTGTTATTTATCAAGTTCACTCAAATCTTTCAGATATTTTTGCTCTCAACATTTAACATTTATAAAAATAATAGAGATTATAGTATAAAATTTCAATGTGTAACTATTTACTCTTTTACATAATTACTTAAAATTTATGAAATTACTATTCACATTTTATTTTAATTTGACATTAAAAAAATATCATTTTGATAATAAACTTTTAATATTATTCCTTTTTATTTGATTTTTATATTTCAAAACAAGATTACTTAATTAACATTTTAGACAATTCAAGTATGAGAGAGGATATACTTATACCTATACTCACTGTCCGGCATAAATAGAAGAGCAAAATAATGTAGTATTAAATATAATACGAATTAATTTATTGACAACTTCAATCTTAAAGTTGACTGGTATTAAATGTTTCAAAATTTTAAGTGATAACGAAATTAAAAACACTAATTCTTTCATAATTTAATAACCAATATATTTGAAAGACTTGTCATAATATACATGTTAGTTAAGTACTTCTCCTAAGTAGAATAATTCATGAATCTCCCCACGACCAAAGATGCGTACCCTATGGAAGAATCCAAATTAGTGGTCTGAAATTCCAAAATTATTTCCTATTAATTCGGATAATCTAAATCAAAACCCTTCAATAACTAGGAGAGAAATATTCCTATAAAAAAATTATATTAAAAAAAAAACTAATTCCAAATGGGCTGATTGAGAGTCCCTTGGAAATTTCTGACCGGAGCAAGATACATTCTTCAAAACCCTAAAGGATGATTCAGTAGTGTTTGTTCAATAAGTTCACGTGGTAGATAGTGAAATGCATTCAGTCCTTTATTTAAATCACTACATAAGAAGGGGGTCACTGTCCTCCATATCATTTGTCTAACCTCCATCAACAATTACAATTACAATTACTATTACAACGGGCTTCTGTTGGCATCTTTGTATATTAGATACCGTGTTCTTGTTTTCCCTAGGGCAGCATACCTGAAAACAGCACATTGTATCATTCAACATGTTCTAACAATTAATCCTTCAGAATGAAGACAGTAATATATAATAGTATAATTTACCACTGTGGGATGAATGGTGCCATCCAAATGACATCACCCGCCTGAACTGGGTACCTATTCACAGAAAAACAAAACAAAAAACAGTGAAAAAACAAATCACCAATGTAAAGCCACAGCTTTTAATGATATGAACTAAAAATATCATGTAACAAATCGATCCTAGAAAAATCATAAACAATAGAATATTCCAACGAAACTCACCGAAGAACACAGCCAAAAATCTAACCCATAATCTGTGGCAGACACCACATAGAACAAAATAGAATGTGTAATGCTCTCAACTAGGGATCTGAGTGGCACAGTTTGGAACCAACGAGCTTATATAATTGTTAAAAAATCTTATGTTTTAGAAGAATATTAGGATGTCAAACTAGATTGGGAAGAGCCAAAACGTAGATCAAAACTGTCCACTGAATACAACAAATATAATTTCTAAAATCTGAACCCATCAAAATAAACCTCAAATTGGGTTGAGTTAGTGGGGAGAGACAGGTCATGGACAGCCGTAATCAACCAAGATGCACAATCATTTCTACCGGACCAATTAAGCTCAAATAGCTCACCATTATGTAGCCAACATGGGGCCAAGATCTCAAATTCAACTCGAAAGCTCAAGTGATTGGATAGGCATAGCACGAAGTAATAGATTTTTCCATATAACAGTCAGATACACTACTAGGCCAAGTGAAACTCATCTTTCGCACTGCCCAAGTAAGTTCAATGGAAACAAAAAGTGCCACTATATAGAACTTCATGCAACATTCAGACCATTTTTTATAGGTTAGGTCTAGAACTCTTACCAGCTATCACCCAAACGATAAATGCCTTGCCCTTCCAATAGTAGCAAGCCGTGCTGGTTATAATGGACCTCCTGCAAAAGCCAAAAAATTAATAAAACTATAAAAAGGTCTTTCAACTTTAGTTGGAAGACGAACTAACTCTCTCCTAGACTTGTGTATGAATAACTAGGAGAGGTGTACAATTTATCATATCATCAAGAAGCAAATGTCCCACTGATTTCAAAAACAATTTCATGGAAGAGTGCTTGTATTAAAGATGTTTATCCTTTTACTTTTATCTGTTTGATAAAATGTAATAAGGATAGGTTTTGAATAGCATAACATCACATTAGGTAGTCCTGTAAGTGATAAAATTGATCTTCATTGTCAAGTGAAGTAGACTACACGTTTCAAGTGATAACGCATTTTAAACAAGTTCGATTATACAAGTTTCAATCATGACATCACATGATAAAACTAAATTTGTATTTGATGATTCAAAAAAATAGGAACTTGAAATAATTGGCTAAATAAGAAGTATACATCAATCAAACCAAATTATTGCCAAGCCGATCAGAAGCTTAACATAAAACTGTTACTGAACATTAGAGTTTAGACCATAATCTCCATTTATTGTCGTAAAGGACGATTGCATAATTGCATGACTTCACTATAACTTTACACTATTACAATTCATACCAGAGTTATATCATTTGGCAAGTGAAGAGATATTCGGATATTTGGACCATGACTTGCAACAAAAGTTGAAATGACAAAAAATGAAGATGAGATGAAATCCAAGAATTATATGGTTTTTCCACTATGAGCTACATCCACTCTCAGGTGAAAGAAGGATCACACCAGAAAGAATATAGTAATTACAATCACTTTCCATTTGTTTGGAGAAATCAACCATCACTCTATCATTAATTATAGAGTACATCCACCTACAATTTTCCTCTAGAAGAGCTACACAAGTTAAGAGATTGGATAGAATAGGGATGATACCCAACATCATTCCAGCCATCCCAATCTAGGCTTCAGGAATGAACCTTGAACACAAATTAAATGTGACTAGAATCTGACCAGGATGGTCATCTATTTGCTTCTTGCCAATCATTTATTTAGCTACTAATCATGACTTGTTCAACATATCTCCCATTTCAAGACTCTGATTTGTAATCAGGTCATTTTGAATCATGTCTTCATGCTTTCAGCCTCAATATTCATTCCGCACAAGTCACCTCTCCGCTATTTATGTTTTCTGAGGATCTACACTATGTCAACATTTACAAGCTTAGTCAAACTTGTATTTATATTTTCCATTGACCATTATCTACACCATGCTTACATTTACAAGCTTAGTCAAACATGTACTTGATTCTTGTATGAATCTTTGGCATGTCTACTTTTCCATCTTCCACTACTTCATGAACAAAATAAAATTGAACTCTTATGTTTATACCTAGAATGAAAAGTTAGATTCCTCAACATGCAAGTCACTCACTAGCATAGAAAAGAGAAATTTTCTCGTTTGTGTCCAGTCTCCCCCAATAGCCTTTGTATCCAAATTGCTTTCCTTCCATCTTGTGCAGTCACCATATATTCCATACTTGCGGTAGATAAGGCTATCACAATATATAATTTTGATAATTAGCTTACAACTCATCCTACAAGAATTAACATATAGCCTAATGTGGATTATCTTGTGTTAAGTCTCCTGCAAAACCTAAATCAACATAACCCTTGACCATAAAATTTGACCCTTTGTAACATAATGCAGCATGTGAGGTTCCATAGATACATCTCAAGATCCTTTTTAGAGCACTCCAATGTTCTTTACCAAGATTTCCCGTGTATTGACTAATTTTGATCAATGTCTTGCCTTTATACATCATGGCAAATTTTAGGCTTCCCACTGTTAATTCTTATGATACTTGAGACATTTCCATCATTTTGCTTCAATGTTGGGACATATACTTGAGAATAATTTGTTATTAATAAGTGGGCTAGAGATTGATTTGCTATCTTGCAACTAGAATCACCTCAATATTTTCTTCTAAGAAATCAACTTTTCTGACTTTTCCATCTCAATGAAATCTGCATCCCTAAAGTTGTTTGTAGGTTCCAAGTTCTTTCACAGTAAACTGCTTAGCGAACTTTCCCTTAAATTGTCGGACTTAACTTTTATTAGGACCTATCATGTCATCCACATACAACTAAAGAATTAAATTATCATTGTCAAAACTATTCTAATTTGCATAATGGCCTGAAGTGAGTATTATGGATCCTAGACTTATGATGAAGGAATCAAATCCCTTTCACTTACATCTCACACCTATTTTGGACCATACAGTAATTGGGTTTCTTCAAGCACATACTAATGCAAAATATTTGGCTCCTCTGATGGTCATGTTCAGTTATTCTCATACGTCAAAGTGATTATGTGCTTACTTTTGGCAATTGATCTTCCAAACTTCAATCTACTCTACTTACAAAACAATTCAGACAAAAGATATTTACCCACTTAAGCCCATAAAGGAGATAAAATTATACTACATTCTTCAAACCTCATTGTGATATATCATCCATTTTGTGATGATATACTTGAAGTTCTTGGTTGGATATTGCAAAAAAAATGCATCCACAATCTGTTGTGAATTCGAGAAGTGGTATTGCAAAAGGAAGGAAAATGGTTTACGTGTCCTTGGGAGTTACCTAGAATTAAGGAAACGACAAGTGAAAGAAGTTGCACAAGTCTATTAATGTGGGTCGTAGTGGTCTTGCACCCCTTGACTTATTTGCCCCACAATGGATATTTATCCATGAATGAAGTGGGTTATTGGTTGCTCAAGCTTGAGATCATGCAGAACAAACTTTCACCTCTTCTATAAAATACAATAATTTCATTTCTTCCCAAGACGAACACATGGACTTACATTTCTTCTTTCAATAACACAAAGATTAGTTCACTCCTCCCGATTTCTTCTCTTTTTCCTATTCTTCCATAATCCTTGGTTATTTTTTTACTCTCTCAAAAGAATTCCTCTCTATAGTTCTAAGTTTCTTATAAAATCTGAGAAGTTCTTGTTTTATCCTAAGGGATTTGCGCATACACTACGAATAAATCCTTAAGGATAGTAAATATACACAGGAAATTACTTGTTCGTATTCTCTTCATATTTTACAACACAATCCACCTCTTGCCTTTGGTCTCCCAGAAGCATGAACAATTTTGTTGCAATACTTTGTGCTTCCAATATAATTTGGTACCTCTAACAACCTTCGATATGGGTCTAGCACCTTTGGTCTATCCAATAAACAAAAGGTTTTCCAAGTCATTTACATGATGTCCCCCTCATTTTGTAGAGTGTCCTTATGCATTTTCAACTTCAAGATACCAATACCAACAATTTATATGGCAAGAGTAACCATGAACATATATTGAGATAGGCTCATAAGTGCAAAACTATTCTTGACATTGTGTCATGCGTCACTTTGCTATTGAATTCATTATCTAAACATCAAATAGTTGCTATCTCCCTTTAGAACTGATTAATAATATACAAGAATTCTCCATGACCAAAGGCACTAGAAACACACTTTGAGAAGTTGTTTTGGAATGTAATATAGATAATGTAATCCTTGTAAGATTTACACTAATTATCTTGCAAGTCGTTTTTTTAAGGATGAGTTTATCTAGCTCAAAATCTAAGAGATATCCCCATTGGGAAATTTAAACCACAAGTTGGCTTGCGACAAAAGTATGCAAGAGAAAGAATAAAGATAAAATGAAGACCAAGGGTTTTGCGATTCTCTCGCTATAGGCTACATCAGTACACAAGTGAAAGGGATCACACTAGAAATAATATACTTGTTTCAATCACTCTCAACTTGTGAGGAAAAAACAATTATCACTCACAAAAATAGAAGTAAAACATCTCCACGTATCACTCATTAAATAGAACCTATAAACAAAAATTACACCAGAGAAGAGATTGGATGAAATGAGGATGATATAAAACATCACTCAAGTCTCCCTTAAATAGGCTTCGAGAATGAGCATTTATCACAAATTAAAGGTGGCTAGAATCTGCCCAAGGATAGTCATTTGGTTGCTTCTTGAACATTTATATAGGTACGAACCATACTTTTGTCCAACAAAAGAGAGGCAACTTACTACCATATCCCCATTGTAGAGACCCAATTCTTAATGCACCTCTACCGCATACATACACAACACATCCACATCAGTATGGTACTGGCAGAGAGACAAATTACCTTCACATTGAGAAATTCTCCGGGTTGAAAATCCATTATCTGCAGTCATCAGTTCATCAGTAACATTTACAGAAATTTACCGGAAACCATGATCATATGAAAACAGTATAATGCAATGAATAACAGACCGAGCCAAAAGAATAAGTACATAAGAGATTTGAACTTACATGGATATTGAAGTCGTATGCCAAAGTTGTTGGAATAAGCTTCCGTAGCTCAAAAATCTGACAAAGCATACAGAGAGAATAAAAAACTTAAGATACAGTGAGCAAAGTTCAAAAAACCTAAGATAGATAAAGAGAGAGCACAGAGACCTGATTATTGAGGATAACCCTCAACACACGAGGAATTTCTGATATATCACAATAGTTTAAAATCATATTGTAACTTGTACAAGTTGCTAAACATGGACTGTCAGAAAGTTCTGAATTGACAGGTGTAATACAGCCAGAAAAAGATGATTGAATGTTTCAGAGTAATAAACACGCCTAGATTCATGACAAGTGAATGAACCCAAAACATGTAAGTATTGCTCCATGCATTGACGTTAATAGACATAACAGTGTCATAAATTTTCTTTTATGAACTATCATCCTAAATTGGAAAATTTAATCCCTGAATTTCAAGCCAAGAAAAAGAAGATGAAATAAAGCAAACTGCTTTTCAGCACAGTAGAGTCAACTTACCTCGCCAGGAGTTTCAAGGAGTGGGTGTTTATCAGTTGAACCAACCAATGGCTCTGGGATATGATTTGCCAGTGGAGAATATCTGAAAGATTATAGACATTTTTCATACTCAAGTCATTAGAGTACTCGTGACAGCTCACTATTTGAATGTACACAAAAATATATATAATATGCATTCTATACCAATTTATATTGCAACTGCTTATAAAGAACCTTGAAATATAAAATGGATCCATCTATTTTCAGTATGATAATCATAATTAAATGCAAGAATTCTCATAATGGCAAGGAGATGGAGATGAAACATATAAATTGCAAGTGGGCAAGTAAAAAGCACAAACCTTCGTTCAAATACCACAATAGTACCAAGTGCATCAGATTCAATTGAATGTTCAAAATTTGGAGGAAAATAAGCATATGAATCCACCTGGAATTAAAGCCATGACATGAAATTTTTTATAGCCATCATAGGAAATATAGTGATCATCTAAACTTTCATAAAAATGGTATAAAGCTAGTAGCCAGACAAAAATATGACTTTAAGAAAGACACTGCAATTGTAATGAGTCTACTTTCACCATTCTTGATTACATAGCTAAGCAGTGTGCACATAAAACTAAGGTCATCATGATAAGTATCACAAGTGAGGGAAATATGAATTTCTATGATTACTTCCTACTACCAGAAAACCGGAAAATAAGAGGATTCACCAAAGGAGTGAAACTTGTAATAGAGTGACAAATAAGAAATAATATCATAAACTGCAATCAACTTAAGCATGCATTCCTTCTCTTTTCCCTTCTGTCGTATAATCTTCCTATCATGATTATTAAAGCATAAAGCTCTCTAGCAATGAAAAATAGTAATGGCACATTATAAGAAAATAAAATTTTGAAGCAACGGCAATCAGCTTTTATTTTTATATAAAAACATTTCAAGGATTGAATCTTGAATTTAAGTCCAATTTCAATGCCCCTGAATCTTCTGTTGTATAAATAGAACACTTATGGGTCAAAGCTAACCTACCACCAGCGTTAAATAAATGAGCTGGATCTAAGAAAAATGTAACCAAAATTAGAAGAAGAACAGTAATAAGAATAAATCATGCATAACATATTTCCTGAAGCTAACATAGTTATCATGGAACTCCCACAAGTGCATAAATACTGGTAGAGGGAAACGGTATGTGAAAACCTTTCGTTCTTGTATATGGTTTGAGTAAGTTCAAAAACAGCCTTATGCTTGTGTTTGCATTGAGTGACTACACGTGTATCATTACACCTTGGGAAGAAATTTCTCATGATATTTTTCAAGGGTTACAAGTGGAATGAGGAGGGTACAAGTTTATAGTATTGAGTGGCATGTGCAGCTCTCTGGTGCATTTGGCAGCAGAGGAATGTCCAAATCTTCAAGGGTTTTCTCTCTTCCCTTGATATGTTTGTAGGAAGAGATAGTGTCTACATATTTCCTTTGGTGTACTTTACTTGAGATTTTTTCAAGAGAACAGTAACTAGTGATACGAAGAGAGATTGAAACTTCCGTTTAATTTTTTTGGCTAACTTGGCCCACTGTTATCGTCAACTGTTTCTTTTAAGGAAGATATTTCATTCTCCTCCAGATTCTTTTTCCTTTCTAATAATGTTTTCTTCTTTTATTACTTTAAGAAAAGAGATGATAGTGATTTAAAAAAAATATTGACCAAACCTTAAATTTGTATCAAATATCAATTTTTAACAGTACTTAAAAATTGGTTATCATACTGACAGAAACATTTACAATACTAATTGTAGACTTATTACCTTAAGTAGTTGGCTAACTCCAGTGGCATTAGTGACGGTGACGGTTCCTTGGAGCACAAAGATAAACCTACACATAACAATATTAAATAGTTGAAGTGTCATTTACAAGAAATTGAGGGGTAGAATGCAAAAACTGAAAAAGCTAAATAACATGTTTACAACCTCTCCACACCAGGCAGGGGTAGTCCGGATCTTGAATTATCTATAAAGGGGACAAAGCACATATCAAATGCATACCAGAAAATTTAGTTTCAGGGAAAACTGAGAATGGTAACATACATAAAATATCAAATGTCACAAATGAAATGCCCATTGGAGTTAAGGGAAAGTGTAAAGGTAGACTTGGAGGATATGATTGAAATTGTAACCCAATATCATTTTGATCCCTAAAAGAAAAGCAAATAAGATATTGCCAAGCACTAAAAGTTAGGCTGAACCAAAAGACCAGTCGTATATTTATTATGAAGGTTGGTTCCAGGACGGAAGATATTTTGTTAAGGTACAGTAACAACTTACTAGCCATTCCCAGGCTTTTTAGAGTTCAAGTATGTTAAAGCAGTTGACGTGCAGCATTGGACCGGAGCAATTTTACTTTGGATTATACAGAGAGAATCCTCTGAGAGGGATGAACCCAGATTTTCTGAGGTGCAATTAACTGTACAGGGTAATTTTTCTTCCATTATCTTTCTTGGGGTCCAATGTTTTCCATGCCACACTTCTTTTTCCAGTAAGGTTGATCTAATGTTAGGAGGCTTGTAATAAAGTTGCACCCAAATGATGCATAATTGCATATGAGAAGATAAATGGCATCAAAAAATTAGTATGTCGGCAAAGATATGTAGTGTGGATGACTAAAATAATTGATTCACATATGCTGAAGTAACAATATCATCTAATGACAATATACCCAGGCAACTTGGTAAATATTATGAATTCAGTCGAATAAGTCATAATCAAACCTTTCAACTTAGCTAGGTACATTAAAAAGTGTGAACCCATTTCTGGTGAAATTAAATATGCCCCAGTTGTGTCGCTCCTGTCGAAGAAAATTAAAGTTACTACACAACAAGAGGACAATGAAGAGGCTTAAAATCTTAACTAAAACAAATGAAGAAAGTCGAGAGTACCAATCAGGCAATGGGCCATAAACATGACTTTCTGGTGATATCAAAGCATGGGAATTCTTGTAAACACTGCGTGTGAATCCAGGTAAATCTGCAAACAAAAGCAAGTAAACTCAGTCCAATGCAAATTCACTGCAAAGTTCTTTTCATGAAAATAGTCCAAGACTTAAACAGAAAAAGAAACTTTAATATCTAAATACCCTTTACATATAGTCCGTTATAATTAACATATATATCACAACTCAAGAAAGAATTCTAATAGTCAAGCCTGGTAGTCAAGTGTCCAACTTCACCTCTTAAGCCAGTTCTTTCAGCAACCAAAATAAAAATCATTATAATTAGAAATCCACATCTTGGGAAAAAGCCATGAGTCCAAAACTTTGTGAAATTCTTGGGTTAACAATGCATACAAGCCTGCTGCTACAAAATGTACGGTCTCATGTGTTTTATTTTATTATGCATCATAAACCTTTTATAGGGCATTTACATCATTTCTTTGGAAATAAAATGCATCTTGTCTTTACAAGAAAGACCCTCTATTGACATAGACACAAATCTCCCGTCTATTAAAAAAATCAAGGGAAATCTAATCAGCAATCACCAGTAGTCTGTTTGTTTCCTGCTCCGTTAAACAATTTACATCAACATAATAATATCTTTTTTTTAAGACATGGAAAGAAAAATAGCATAACAAAAACATTTGACTAACCTTTAAGGTGAACAGGAGAGAGAGTGGGAGTGTCGACTTTCCAATAAAGAGGCTTTGCTTTCGCGTCCGTACTAAGTCCAGAAGGAGCAGAGCAATACCCTTCTTCAGAAAAAGCATGCTTAAACAAGCCTGAAGAATCAACAAAACACAAATAAGTCATTTCCTACTCTCTTCAACCACCAAAACTCCTCCTTCGAACAACTGAGAAAACTAACACAAGTTAAAAATTGTTGCTGCGTTTTTTTTCGTTCAGCGGCCAAACAGAGTACAGAACAAAATTGGAGAGAAGAGAGTACCCAGAATAAAGAGAATTGCAAAGATGCTCCTCATTTTCAGATGAGAAATGGAGAAGTGTTCGGACTGAGAACAGTGGCTCAGATGAGAGTGTGGGTGTGGATGAGTGTGTCACGGACTTAAAGGAGCACTTAACAAAGATTCCTTAAGACCTACAAATACAATGGACGCTGATACCATGATGCACTACAATAATTGTAACATGGAATCTGCCTGGGGCCATGAAAATACTCTATTCAAATCTTTTATATTTATTTTTTTTATGCCCCCTTTCTTTACCCTTTTAATTTTATTTAGGATATGAAACTTTCTCTGATCCACGGATGTAATCTATACGTGAAATCAAAGACGATGAATGATCCACTGGTGTTTGTATTTGCTAATCTGAAAAAATAAATACACCTGTACGATTTTTACTCTCCTCATCCATGAGAATAAAGGCATGAACAACCAATGTGGATTATTTTATACTATATATATATATATATATATATATATTTATTTATTTATATTGCTTAAGCTAAAAATATTGCATGTGTGTTATTATTTAGAGTGATGATATAGCTATATTTACAGGGGTTTGCTAACGCGCGTACGCCTATTTTTCAGTTGGTACATTTTAGCAATGTGTACCGGATTTTAGTAGACAAAAATACCCTTATATATCATGGATTCTAAGTTTTAAGATTAAGGGTATTTTAATAATTTTCATTCTCAAAACTTAAAAAAAAAAAAAACCCCTAAACCCTTACTCACCTCTCTCATTCCTCTCAACCCTTTCTCTTTCATCTTNTATATATATATATATATATATATATATATATATATATATCATACCAATGATATCTTTTATTATTAAAACAAATGAATAGTGATACTTCATTTACTTGTCACCGACAATTGTAATACAAAACCACACCAGACTAATTCATTTTATTTTCTTAACATCATTATTATCTACTTAATTTAATTATTAAATAAAAATACTAGGTTCCCTTACTTGTTTGAAAACCAACAACTCTATAAAATCCTTAGACAACTTCCACATATCGACGAATACTAACTGTGCATAAAAACAACAAAATCATAATTAGGGTATACCGTTAAGATGAGGGATGGCAAAATAATTCGTGTCCGCGGATATCCGCGGATAAAATCCGCGACGGATAGTTGATACCCGCAACTCGCGGGTAGCGGATACTTTAATACCCGCTTATAAACGGGTCGGGTGCGGGTATTATACTATCCGTACCCGCGGATATCCGCTACCCGCAAAAAAAATAAAAATAAAAATTTAATTTATATTTTATTAAGTTAAATTTAGTTAAAATTAACATTAATTTATATTTTACAAGATTAAATTAAATTTAAATTTATATTTAATTTAATTTAATTTATATTATATTTTATATATTTTTTATAATTCTATTTAAATTTTATTTTAATAATTTATTAAAATATATATTTTTTTAATATTTGTGGGTATTCGCGGATATCCACGGGTATCCGCGGGTTTTAAAATACCCACGGATATTTTTTAAGCGGGTATCCGTGCGGGTAGCGGGTCGGGTAGCGGGTGGATTTTTTTTTGTCGGGTCGGGTTGCGAGTAGGCACTATCCGTGCCCGATCCGACCCGTTGCCATCCCTAGTTAAGATCACTGATTGATAATGAATTAATAAGAAAGCATGAACGACACATGGGATAAATACTTTTTGCACGTGTCTTAAACTAAAAACTAAATAAAAGAAACAGAAAGTGACTTACTATATATAGAAAACTATATATAGAAAACTAATAAGTAGAAAAATGAAGATCTTAATGTCATAATCTACTAGACATTTTTTGATCGTTAAAAATATGTCTAAGAGTTAGAAAGTTTAGAAAAAAGAAAAAAAAATTCAAAAAATGAATTTTAGATGATGAGACGTATTTATGAATTTTTATTTATCTTATTTGATTATTTTAATGTTAAAATACTTAATCCCATCATTTTTAAATATCTATCGGTTTTAATACTTTATTTTACAGTAATAAACAATTAAAAAACAAGTTAATAAATAGTAAAATAATATAATAATTAATTATTTTTGTAAGATTGAAATAAATAATAATAGTAAAAATAAACCAGATTTGATAAAAATATTAATATACAATAAAAAATAAATAAATTACAAAATACTCAATGAAGTAATTTATAGTTTGTAAACTGGAAATTTCTAAAATAAAAGACTTTAAAGTATTTATGAAATATTTGTATATTAGTCAAACTAATTTATAAGTGTACGAATTTTATCGAACACATTTTATATATATTAACATCACTAATAATGTGCATGTTCACTTCTCACACATTCTAATTTACTAGTTCATATTTATTTATGGACATTTTAATTTAAAGACAAGATATCCAACTAACTATTTAATGTAAAGAGACAAAGACTCACTTACCAATGAAATAAATATCCAGGAGTTATTTCTTGCTAAGATGCTTATTACTCATATTTAAAATTCTACTAAATGTTTACTGCTTTAATCCTTTTAATTTAATTTAATGACAGTAGACAGGGCGCCAAAAATTGGCGGATCACGTTGGCAAACCATGACGTTTTTAGGGTTTAGCAGCTGATAATTAGGGTTTTACCGCCCATCCAATTCAAGAAGAGTGTTACAATGTCTGAAGCAGAAGCAGAGGCAGGTTCCATGGCTTCTGTGGTTGCTTCCCTATCCAAAAGCTTCTATCAGGTGCCTCTGCCTGCGGTTCCTCCAATGCTGGATTGCATTATGGTGTCTACTGGTTTGTCTCCCTTGTCACTCTTCGCTTCCCTTCTCAATGATTTCCCTCGAACTCTCAAGGTACCACTAATTCTTCTCATGCATTTAACCTCTATTTCTCTCACTTATTTTGTTGTTCACATTTCTGTTTTATTTGATGAATTTTAACAGGATCTTATCAAGGAAGGTGATGATCTTGATGCTGATAAACGCCCCTACCTTGTGTCGCTGGTGGGCGCGTTTTGCCATCTTTTGAAGAAAACGGGTGAGTTACCAATTAACCATTTTGTCTAATGCCTTTTTTTTTTGTTTATTCTTTTTATCTTGAACGTTTAGATTATGTTTTCAAATTTTGTATGTGTTTTGCTCTGTTTTTGGTCTGGAAGTCGAAAGTAGGAGGCTATGCTGAATGGAGCATTTGCGGCTGTCACATTACCCTTCATATTCTTCTATCTAATATATTTCTTTACAGGGACTGGTTGTGATGCTGTAGGATTGTTTGTGCGGAGATGTTTTCTTCCTTTAGCTAAGGTGCTACGACCCTTGCAGCTTGACTTACTTAATCAGGTATTATTAGAGAAGTAGGCAAACAATTTTGTTTTATTTGTAATTATTGGAGAACTTTTAACTAATTTTGTTTTTTGTGGTTTGCATTTATCGTTCTTGGATGTGTGCATCATTTTGATGACAGATCACAGAATCGTTAATCGGCGTAGTGATTGAAACTTGCACGTGGGAAATTCTTGAAGAAAATTTGGTGCCAATTTTCTTAAAATCAGTTGGTCTTTCCATGGGTATGCTTCATAATGATGATTTGGACTTTTATGAATGGAGTACCGATTCATCTCATCAAGACTTGAATGATGTCATGATTGATCCACTGATGGATAAGGAGGTGTTTCTGTGTCGGTCAAATAGTTTCGAATTGTCAACATCATGCAATGTTCTGTCTGTAATTCTGGAAGCTGCCCTTCAGTACATGCTAACAGATACAATCTCTAAATCAGTGGAAAGAAAAGGGTGCATTGAGGATAATTTTGTTCAAGTTTTGATTTGGGAACTATGCAATTTGATTGAACGGATGCTTTTACATAGTCCCGAGCACAGGTCTTGTGCAGTGGGCCTGCTGCTTCCTATCATTGTTAAAGCATTACCTGCCATTTACTCATTTGAAATCTCAATTCATGGGCAGAGACATGAGTTTTCTCGGTAATGTTCATCTGATTTGTATGCATTTTTCATCTGTTTATATATGTATCTTGTATATTAATATTAATGGTTTTCAGGGACTATTTCTTCATCAAAATATGGAGCTGCTGCAGAACACTGTTTTCAATTGGACCTTTAGAGAGAAGAGAGGCATATAATATTCTATCATTGTATTTCTCTTTTTCCTGGTCCATAGAAGAATGTGAACGTGATGATCGTGATACAGTCGTTATAACTGAAGAATTTGACATAAGAGCAGAAAAAGAGTTCTGGAATGAAATAAAAATAGGGCTGGTACTCAAGCACTGTTTCATGATTTTCTGTGGGTTTATTTAACTTGTCATTGTTTGCTTACTTAGGAATCAAACTAAATCTGATCAGGTTGACAAGGAGAGTATAGTGAGGAAACAGAGTTTACATGTATTGAAGATGGCTCTCAATATACAAGGAGGAACAGATTCTGTGCCTAGCATTTCAAAAAAGAATACAAATGAAAAGCATCATGGTGTGACAAAGAGGGAAAAATGGGCTTACAAGGAAGCCAAGTCACTTGGCGTTGGTAACCTTTTGATGATACACGACCTGATTATTAACAACAAGCAGTATTGGGACGCATTTGTGCTTTTGTATGAAATGCTCGAAGAATATGGTACTCATTTAGTTGAAGCAGCCTGGAATCATCAGGTGTTTAGTCATGTGTTCAAATCTTTTTATCATGTTTATCTTTGTTGAAATTATATAGGTTAGGGTATTGGTGGGGGGAATGAGAGAACAGATTCAGATGAAACAACATAGTATTGATATCTAGTGTGAAGCAATTTCTTACTGCCTATGAATCACAATTCACTTCTTCTATTTATACTAATACACAACTTCTAATCTTAATTGAATATTGAAATGAATCATAATGTATGGTAAAATATGAAAGATATTGATAGGTAACAACTCCGACAGAGACAACAAGAACACCCAAAGGGAAAGAAAGAGTATGAAAAATGTTATTACGTGCTGTGAAA